CGATTATGCAACATGAAACGAGCAACGTTGGCAAAGGAAACGTAGAATCCGTGTCAGTCGCCATACCTGCAGTCATTAGAGCTGGTGGAGATGGTAAGAATTTGTTGAAATCATTCCTGGTATATTTCATGTGCCCCAAAATCAGTGTCTTGCATCATAGGATAACTTCTAGACTTTTAATCACCATTTTTCTTAATTATCCTTCAATCCTTTGAGAATATTTAACATAAAGCGTGACCCCTCACTCTCACCCTTCAAATGAACAAATAGAAGAAACTTGTTAATAAATTGCAAATAAGACACTGTATTTTGGCGTCGCCATTCAGCAGTTTATAGAATGTTTAGCGACAAATATCGCGTTTTGCGCGCTGGCTCAAAGAAATATCTGTGACTTTACGTTTTTTTAAATCTGTTTATTGTATGTCTGAAATCAATTGGTTACTCAGGGCCATTTAAGAGTTCATTCTAACGTATCATTCATTCAACAGCTTCATTATATTCCCCCTTTTGTTTTACTCTTCATCCTCACTTTATGATTTAATTTGAAGGTAAGAAGAATGCTTCAATAGTAAACATATTCGTTACAAATATTCAGTAATGTAATGTAATATAACATTTCCATATAATCCTAAAGTACCGTAAAGATAATTCCAAGCTTATTGTCAAGTAACAACATAATACAATACACCTTAGAACCGTGGAAACTTAAAACATACTTAGCATCATTTGCAACATCAAAAATGGTCTCCAACACAACCAATTGATTTCATACATCAGAACAGTAGACAAATTACTGCGAAATTCTCAATTTTGTTGCTTAACTTGAACTTGAAAGCAACGAAAGGGGCTAAAGCAGCCCTAGAAATCCTTGCACGGCTGCCTTCTCGGTCGTTCTCAATTCTATATAATAATTTTGTACATACATGTATACATATATATGTATATACATATATATATACACACACATACACCGTTATTTTTCCTTTTTTTTTGTCAATTATTCTGTATGTAACGAACGATATTTTGCTGCTCATTCGTGACGAGCGTTTTCGCTTCGCTATTCACGGAGCCGATCTGTGTGGGTATCCTAGCTTCTTGTCGAGCCAGCAGTCGATCCCGCGGATCGATCCCTGTAAATACCACTCGGATAGTTGCATGATACGGTTTGTAGGGGCTCGACCATATGAGACCGGACACATGGGCGGTGCTCAATACACGACTGTCAGCGGCCAGGTGAACATCGCTCACGCTCCACCAATGGTAAGATCTATCAGAAACACAACAAGCTCCTGCTCACGTTGAATCCTCAGTGTTTCGCACGTGTTCCGCCGTACACAACCTTCCTTCGTGAACTTTACTTTTACAGTTACGCTAAATTCTTCCTGTTACCATTAATTTCCATTTTGTTCAGAATAGCTTTCTCTTTTTTCAATTTGGAAATGTAGGAATATTTGTTACTCGGTTCGAATACGCTCTTCAAACGTGTACTGAGAGAATGTTACGGATAGGTGCTCGATGAACGAACTTTATTGGTTTATCAATAAAGCAAATGGTAATTAGTTTGGAATAATTGTTTTAATTCTGGGTTAAATGTTTCTGTTTTTTCTTATAGGATGGAGTTAGTTGGAATGTGAATGTTATAAATACTTGTATTTATAGAATTGCATTTATACTGATGTTTGTAAGTATTTGGACACCCGTTGTGTTGGTTAGAGAAACTGTTATAGGATTCAACCCTTAACTATAGACATCTCTTAAGACTACTTCGGCTATTTTATTTATTACATCACTGTGTTGTGAAAATCAATTTTATTTAGCGATGTGTAAACGTTTGTTAAGGTTTTCTACAGTATTTTATGAAAACAGCTGGTTTATAATGTTATATAAAAAATTAGGATCTGTTTTTATGGAAATAGTGTAGCAATTCAAACTCTAGAGCTTCGAAAATTCTTCAAATAAGTTGTGACAGTGATATAAAAATTTTAACTCGTCTCTGAAACGAGTGGTCTAAAGTTAAAGGGTTAAATTACATTTCTTCGCCAGATTTAGTATGAATAAATAATTTTGCAATGACTTATAATGAATGTTCTAATACTTACGAACTGAAGTGTACCTTTCAAACACTTCCTTAATTGTTTCTCACCTATAGGTTGAATATAAATTTTTTCAAATCATTTTTATAGTAGTATATTTAGCGTAACTGAGATTAACAGACACATTAATTGTTGTTTTCGAAGTGTAAATAAGTTTTCTATAAAAAAAAAGGAAAACACTGATCATTCACTTCAGCAAGAGCTGCTCGATCGCTTCATTGTAGAAGTAGCTTAAGCCGTATCTACACTTGTCGCGTAAGTGGTTCACGAACGTTTGCGAACATTGCTAGTGATTTCTATCGATATTTCGTAGGAAATTCGTTGTTCCTGCGTATTCTGTGTTGAACGAATCTGTTTCAGTTCGTTCTACGAAGCATCTAATTTTCTCCATGCTTCATTTCATTATAAAATATTAATATAACATACGAATATCTGATTTTATATTTTGTGCAAGTTATTACGCATGTATAGTGTCAATATTACAGAGGAAACTATGTGAAGTCTCAGATGGAATTCGTCACAGTAAAACAGTTCTTTTCTGTTTATAATCTGTGGTTGTAAAAATAGAATTTCGAAAAAAAATTGCTATTATCGGATTTAGAATTGTTGACAATAATGAAATTGTGTTTTTAGAAATTTGAAAATTCAATAGTTTCAGAAATTGAAAATCCGGTATTTTCGCAAATTGTAGATTCAGTGTTTCCAGAAATTTGAAAATCCAATATTTTCACAATTTTTCTTTTTCACTAGAAGATTGTGTTTGTTGGAACCGTAATTTCACGAATACATCCTGCTTCCTTACTTAAATCACCGCGAATATTAACGAACGTCTGAAATTCTCCCAAACGTTCGCGAATCATTCGCGCGACTGGTGTAAACGCGGCTTTAGATCAACCATCTTTGAACGGATCGCAGCGAGCTCTGGCGGCACATTTAAGCTTTAAATATCGGTATAATAAAACGATTTCGTTTTGCACGCTGGAGCAATTCCGCAAAACAACTAATTGACGGTTAAATTTATTTTCATGCTAGGCGCCTTCTATTGCGGACACAGAGTAGGTACACGATGATAAAACTTCCCAGTTACCTAGCATTGGCTGTTAAAGTCCTGTTTGATTTTTCATTTTTTGTTTTTTTTTTTTATCAAATTTCGTTTTTCTGACTAAAACTGTAGAATTTGATTGTGACATAAAAATATATTAATTTCTCTTTAGTGGAATATTAAATTGTTGATATGTGCATTAGAAGAATTCCTTTTTCTTTTCTTATGTAGAATACAGCTTCGTTTAGTATGCATTTCAAATTGTTTCGTATATTTCGTCGTTGAGGAACTATTTTTTTTAGTGGTAATATTTAATTCGTTAGGACGGAGACTTGAAAATATTTCATTTTTTGAAAATACTTATTGTTATTTCTGTTACAATTTTGTTTGTATTACATGTTTCCATAAAATTCTACTTTTATTCAAGTTTTACTCTTGTGAGCTTGATTTTTGCAGTTTGTTTAAATTAATTAAAATTTCTATACTTGCATAGAATCAATGGTGAATTGAATATGCAATAATTTTTGATATTTTGACAAATAAGAAAAGGATATGCAAGAATTAATTAATACATTAAAATTCTACAGAACATCTTCTTTTCTAGCTCTTCGTTTTTACATTACTTCACGTTAATTTCATTATTAAAGGAACAAAAATTCATAATTTAAAAAAAATGCTTTTACAAATCTTTCTCGTTGCAAGTAGTATTACATATTAATTAAGCTTGGTGAAACAAAAGAAAAACACTCTGTTCGTCACATTATTCCTATTATTATCACTTTCTTCTTTCACAAACATACTTACCAAATAAATCTAATTTACCCATTTAAAAGAGAAGAAATGTAAATAAGAAATTCTATTTTGAAATTTATTTAAATCTATCGAGATATATATATATACACAGTGGTGAATTTAATTTTCAATATTTTAGCAAATGAAAAAAGTATATACAAAGATCGATTAATTAATTAATACATTACCATTCTCACAGAGTAAACTTACCAAAGAAATTTCACTTGCCCTTTTAAAAATGAAGAAATATAAACGAAAAATTCCATTCTGTAATTTACTTAAATCAATTAAATTTTCGATCATTTTCAATATTTTAGCAAATGGAAAAAAATATGCAAAGATCGGTTAATTAATTAACACATTACCATTCTCACAGAGTAAACTTACCAAAGTAACTTTACCAAACAAAATCACTTACCCGTTAAAAAAAAAGAAGAAATATAAACAAAAAGAAATTCTGTATCACAGTAATCTCAAACTCAAAAACAAGAAAGCTTGAAACCCCCACAGAAAGAGAAAAGGGGAAACATTTTCAAGTCTCCCCAATTACGCCATCCCTTCAACATCAAACCTCCCCGTTTCTTCGTCACGATCCCCTGAAGTACAACAATCGACTCGCAATTAGGTGCAACAAACCAAAGTCACATCCGTCCTGTCCGAACCACAACGTGCCTTACTGTCGACTATCACCGCTGGTCACGAGGTGATCCACATCGCCGAGACCGAGCTGTCCTGCAAGGCTCAGCTTCCCGAACTGGGTACCGATCCGGCCTCGTTGAAATGGATCGAGCAAACGATCGACACGCACAAACAGAACGTCGGCTCGCAGATCGCGGCGATGAACGCTGCCACTGCTCAAGTTGTCACCCTGACGTCTGGCCCAGCTGACGACGTGGATCACACAGCGGTTGGTGCTGCGATCACAACGATCGCCACCAACCTGCCGGAGATGACCAAGGGTGTTAGGATGATCGCCGCCCTAATGGACGACGAATCTTCCGGAGACAAACTGCTGGACGCAGCTAGGAAGCTGTGCTCGGCGTTCTCCGACTTGCTGAAGGCTACCGAACCTGAAACTAAGGAGGTAAGTTTGTCCGAAGATTTATTGTTACCCTGAGGTCCTTTCGGGGTAAACTGTGTACTTATTGATTCGTATGCAGCTCATACGACGATGGTCGGTGATTATGCTCTGAGGCGTGAGTGCCTTGGATCTTTGGTGTTTTCAGATTGTCCCTTTTCTTACAGGTGGTTGCGTTATTTTTGATAGGCTTCTGTAAGTGGAGATTTGGACGGTAAATTTTGGTTTTCTTGAAATTGGTAGAATTTTGGATTCGAAGTGTGTTGCATCTAGGATTGGGTTTAATTTTAGCGAGGGATTTTTATAGGAGAATTTCCAGGAGAACAGAAATTTTGGTTAAATATAAAAGGTATTTGATTATGAAAATCAAATTGTGTTACAAGGAGCAATGATGCAGAGTTAATTGTTGGAATTTTACTTTTCATGAAAGATACTTTGAAAAATACAATAGGAGAATTTTTTGTATATTTGTAGATTGAGTATACAGAAATGTTAGTCAAGTACAAAAGATATTTGGTTAGAAAAATTGAATATCAGAAGGAGTAATAGTACAGAATTAATTAGCAGTTGTAATTTTCATCAAAAATATTCTTGAAATAAATGAAACAAAAGAAGATATTTGGTTATGAAAATTACATTGTGTTACAAGGAACAGCAATGCAGAATTAATTATGGTAATTTTAATGTTTATGAAAGGTATTTTTGCAATCATTCAAAATCAAGGTAGGAGAATTTTCTGTATATTTATATATTCAATAGATAGGAATATTAGTTAAATACAAAAGATATTTGGTTTATGAATATCAAATTGTGTTACAAGGAGCAACAATACAGAATTAATTATGGTAATTTTAATGTTTATGAAAGGTATTTTTGCAATCATTCAAAATCAAGGTAGGAGAATTTTCTGTATATTTATATATTCAATAGATAGGAATATTAGTTAAATACAAAAGATATTTGGTTTATGAATATCAAATTGTGTTACAAGGAGCAACAATACAGAATTAATTATTGTAATTTTACTATGAAAGATAATCTTGAAATCATCAGAATTGCTCAAAAGTTTGGATCAATTCCTGTGTCAAGTGTCAAGCTGCATTCAATTGTAAGCCGGTACATCTGTTTTTGTGGTAATGACCAGGTAAAATGAACTGATATATACTTCTGATGGAAATGGATTAATGCAAGATCTTTTTAGATGAGGGAAAATTCACTTTGCTATGTAATTTCTTTTTTTTTTCTTTTTAGATGAAATACTTGATAATACTCTTCCACTTATTTTTTAGATTTTGGTTAAAATATGCTACAAACTTTTTTTTGAAAAATAAGCTTATCGAGTATAAGATCAATGTTGCTAAAATTCTTATATTAATAATAAGTAATATCGTATTGTTACAACTTTTTGTAAAATTGTTCAAAATATTTTTACCTTTCAGCACTGATCTCTCTTACAATGTTCATAATTATCGTATCGGTGTCATTATTAGTCTTCTTAACTCTAGTTTTTTTTTTTTTTTATCGCTCAGAGGAATAATCAAAGTTTCCTTCTCTTTATCCGCTAGATCTTATTTTCTGCAACTCTCTTGCTGTTTAACTTGCAAGTAATGGAAGTTCTTCTAAACGGAAGTTTTTAGTATTCTCTTAATTAAGTCTTGTAGTTTGATATGGTTCACTCTTGATTTTGAGAAGTTCAACATCTGAGAAACTCATGCTATCGCTATGTACTCGTGAAGTGTGTCTTAAATTGGTACACGTAAAGGTGGAATTTGTTGAAAAAATACAAAAATTCGTAATTACAATATGTACTAAAAAGAGCATAATATAATGAATCAGAAATTTTGTTGGTATCAGTAAAATTCACCTGAATATTTCTGATTGCTTCATTCGCTAGTTTTTATAACAAATTTAAAAGATTTAACAGTATTTTTTAAATTTTTATATTCTTAAAGTTTCTGTGTTTAAAAAATTTCTATACTTTTAAAACTTTCATAGTTTAAAGTTTCTATACTTTTAAAACTTTCATAGTTTAAAGTTTCTATACTTTTAAAACTTTCATAGTTTAAAGTTTCTATACTTTTAAAACTTTCATAGTTTAAAGTTTCTATACTTTTAAAACTTTCATAGTTTAAAGTTTCTATACTTTTAAAACTTTCATAGTTTAAAGTTTCTATACTTTTAAAACTTTCATAGTTTAAAGTTTCTATACTTTTAAAACTTTCATAGTTTAAAGTTTCTATACTTTTAAAACTTTCATAGTTTAAAGTTTCTATACTTTTAAAACTTTCATAGTTTAAAGTTTCTATACTTTTAAAACTTTCATAGTTTAAAGTTTCTATACTTTTAAAATTTCTATATGCTTAAAATTTCTGTGTTTGTAAAACTGTTGTATTTGTAAAGTTTTTGTATTTGTAAAATTGTTGTATTTGTAAAATTTCTATATTTTTAAGATTTTTGTACTCGTAAAATTTCCATATTTTTAAAACTATTTAGAAAGATTTTTAGAATATAACGAACAGTAGGGTAAAATTATACCTATTGACGTTCAGGTAATTAATATCGTATGATTTTCTCATAAACTGTGCCTTTTTATGCAGCCGTTCTACGTAGCGCTTTCTTCCTACGAACAATACGTAAGCAGAAATATTCGTAATTGAAGATCTTCATTTTTATAAATGTATTTCTTAATAATTCTCATACGTATGTATATTTGTGCTTCATTTCGAATTTAAATGCACAGAAGCTTCTTACAAATCATTTCATTTTACATTGTGACGATGCAACTCTTCGTTTCCTTTCTTCATTTTTTTTTTTTTTTTACTTTAGAAGAATGACAGAAAGAAAAGTATTTCCTTTTCCTTATTTTGTAATGAATGAATATTTCTCATTAACACATTGTAGACAGATTGTAAGGTTTCACAAGCTGAGTAATTAATTCTCACCTGTGGAATGTCACTTGTAATGAAAACAGGAAAATAAATTAGTAACTAAGAATAGTACTTACCGGTGATTAAAATAGTTGCATTCTCGTTTAGTATGCAATTTTGACTCATCATGTTAAAAAACTCATGGACACACATCACGTTATGTCAATAGATAATTATCATGCTGTTTCGATTGCTGAGAAATAATTGCTGAAGCATCAATATTTCTCGTTTATTTTCCTGAATTTTTCACTTGGATTTCCATCTCGAATTAATTTTTTTAATGTAGATAGTTGAATGCAAAGTTTAAGGAAAATTTATGCCAAATTTCGAAAAGAAGGAGTAAAATATACCGTAAAAATTGTAACTTATAAACTACGTGATTTCCATTTAATACTGTGTCTTCAAAAAATATTACTCACACATGAAAAATTAGAAATTTTTGAAGTTTTCATTAAGTTTGGAATTGTACTTTATATTTGATATTGTTATAATTATATTGCTAGTAAAATACTTGTTTCTGAATATTCAGTAATTAATCACCTTTCATAATTTCTTCGTTAAAAAGAAAGAATGTTTTTAATTTATTCTGTCCGCAATGTGTTCAGTTAGTTCCTTCACGTGATTCACAAATTATTCGTCAGTCCAATTAATTACACTTTCTCAATTAACGAGTCTCATTTACCCATTTTAGCCAAGACAGAATCTGCTGAACGCTGCATCCCGTGTCGGCGAGGCCTCGCACCAGGTACTCACAACCATAGGAGAAGAGAACGACTCTAACCGAGAGCTTCAAGACATGCTACTTGCATTAGCCAAAGCCGTGGCCAACTCAACAGCTGCCCTGGTGCTCAAAGCAAAGAATATCGCGGCAACTTGCGAGGATTCCGCGACCCAAAACCGAGTAATCTCAGCCGCCACGCAATGTGCCCTAGCAACGTCACAATTGGTTGCCTGTGCCAAAGTCGTAGCGCCAACTTTACACTCTCCAGCTTGCCAGACACAGCTGATGAACGCAGTTCGCGAGGTAACGAAAGCGGTAGAAGGCTTGCTGGAAGTCTGCAATGATACCTGCAGCGATGAAAATTTGCTGAAAGAGTTGAATGCAGCTGCTAGTGAAGTCAGCAGAACACTGAACGACCTGTTGAATCACATAAAAACAGCCACCAGAGGAGAAAGAGCAAAAGAAACCATCCAGGAGGGAGCAGTAGAGACAATATGGGTTGCAACTGATAAGCTGTTTGCTAGTACTGGAGACGCTGGTGAGATGGTGAGACAGGCAAGAGTAGTTGGCCAGGCAACTGCTCAATTGATTCAGAGTATAAAAGGTGAGGCAGAAAGGCAGACTGACACGGAACAGCAACGTCGACTGTTAGCTGCTGCTAAGGTGCTTGCTGATGCTACAGCTAAAATGGTTGAGGCTGCTAGACAGTGTGCCAGCAGTCCACATGATGCTAAGATGCAGGATCAATTACGCCAAGCTGCTGAAGAACTAAGGGCAGCTACTACTGCTGCTGCTATTCCAGCTTTGAGAAGGAAGCTGATCAGTAGACTAGAAGCTTGCGCCAAACAGGCTGCCTCTACTGCTACTCAGTGCATCGCAGCTTCCTCGGGAGTTGCTCATCATAACACAAATCCAAGCAGTCAGGATGAATTAGCTTTAGAGTGTCACACTATGGCACAGCATATACCACATCTTGTAGCTGGAGTGAAGGGAACACAGGCTCAACCAGATAATTCTACAGCACAGTTAAATCTGATCAATGCATCTGAACAGTTCTTGCAACCTGGAACTTCTGTAATGAAAGCTGCAAGGGCAGTTCTGCCAACAGTGACTGATCAGGCCTCTGCTTTGCAGCTAAATAAAACCTCACAGCAATTAGGTGCCTCTCTGACTGATTTGAGATCTGCTGTGACACGTGCCAGAGAGGCTTGTGGTGGGTTAGAGTTAGATGCAGCTGAAGAATTGATTAACAGCTTGAAGGACGAGTTAGGAGAGTTCTATAGAGCTGTAGAAGCTGCTTCTTTGAGACCTTTGCCCGATGAGACCACAGAGTCCACTGCTCTTCGACTGGGCGCCACGTCGAAGAACGTTGGTTTCGCTATGGCTCAGCTTTTATCTGCTTCTAAGCAAGGAAATGAGAATTACACTGGAAGTGCAGCAAGGGAGACAGCATCTGCTCTGAAAGATCTGACTTATGCTGTTCGAGGTGTGGCTGCTACGTCAAACCAACCTGATACCCAGAAGAAAGTCCTGATGACTGCGGATGACGTAATTCTGAAGTCGTTGAGACTGGTTAAAGAAGCTAGAAGGGCTCTGAAGAATCCTGATAATCCAGATAATGAAGTTAATCTGGCTGCAGTTGCTAAGGATGTGTCGAATTCGTTGAACAAATGTGTGTCTTGCCTGCCTGGCCAGAGAGACGTCGATGAAGCCATCAGGAATATTGATGATATGACTCAGGTGCTCGGTATGAACGAATTCCCGCAAACCAACAAAAGCTATGGGTAAGTATATTGCGTTAAATCATTGATAATAGAGCTGTTATTAAGTAGCACACTGACAACTTGTTATCTTCTCACGCATTGCTTATCATTCATTGACACACATTTAAACCTTGGAGATAATAATGTGGAGCAAATTTTACTAGCTTTGAGAGTTGAACATTTTAATATTAGAGTATGTGACTTCAGAAACTATGTTTCTGTTCTAAATATATTAAGATGTATTTAAAATGAATATTTTCAATACATTGGATATTCAAGAATTCTTTTTTAATTCATCATAAATACATTTAGATGTAAAGGTATAGCAACAGCTTATCCTTTTCCAAAATATAAGAAATTAAAGGTGATATATTATATTTTTTCTGATGTTATTAACAATAGTATTATGTCAAAATTGACATATTTTTTATTAATTCAAATAACAGAGGCTTAGAATCTGTTGAATCCATGTATTTTTCATTTTGCAAACATACATCAAATAAACATAAACTCATCAAAACTTTATTAATCTCCTTTCCACAGACAACTGCAAAGCGACCTAAACAACGCAGCTGCGAATTTGAACGATGCCTCCTCCAACGTGGTATCATCAGTGCGTTCTCCAGTACAGCTGGCAAGCTCTTCCAAACAATTCACCAATGCTTTTGGAGACCTGTTAGGAGTTGGAATGGAAATGGCCGGTCAGACAACCATCGAAACTCGAAGCCAAATGGTGGTCTCTCTGAAGAATGTCAGTATGACATCCGGCAAGCTTTTGGTAACAGCGAAATCAGTCGCAGCCGATCCAAGCGCTCCAAATGCAAAGAATCAACTGTCAGCTGCTGCTCGAGCCGTGACAGACTCCATCAACTATCTCGTCGACGTCTGTACTTCAGCTGCACCTGGACAAAACGAGTGTGACAACGCCATCAGAAACATTCAGTCGATGAGGTCGCTTCTTGACAATCCTAGCGAGCCAATCTCCGATGCTTCTTACTTCGAGTGTCTCGAAACGGTAATGGAGAAGAGCAAGAGCCTTGGCGATGGAATGACAGGCATAGCTAATCACGCGAAGAAATCAGAACACGAACAATTCTCTGTAGCTGTTAGAGGAGTCTCTTCATCGATATGCGGACTCATAGAAGCAGCAGCTCAGGCTGCATACCTGGCTGGCGTGAGTGATCCAACCTCTGTGGCTGGAAAACCAGGTTTAGTAGACCAAGCACAATTCCTGAGAGCTGCACAAGCCATCCATACAGGCTGTCAGAGCCTTGGAAATCCCACAAGCACAGAGCAACAGGTCCTATCAGCCGCCACCATGATCGCCAAATACACAAGTGCTCTTTGCAACGCTTGTCGCGAAGCTTCGAACAAAACTAGCAATCCTGTCGCCAAACGACACTTTGTCCAATCAGCCAAGGATGTAGCCAACTCCACGTCAGCTCTGGTGAAAGAGATCAAAGCGTTAGATCAAAATTACTCAGAAACTAACAGAGAGAAATGTGCAGAGGCTACCAAGCCACTTTTGGAGGCAGTTGACAATCTGTGCACTTTCGCTGGGTCTCCAGAATTCGCCAGTCAACCTGCAAAGATATCTATCGCAGCTAGAGCAGCTCAGGAACCAATTACTAGCGCTGGTAAAGCTATCATCGATGGATCTTGCGCCATGGTGCGAGCAGCCAAGAGTCTGGCAGTTAGTCCTAAGGATCCTCCAACGTGGCAGTTGTTAGCAAACCATAGCAAGAGTGTCAGCGATTCTATCAAGTCTCTGGTTGCTTCTATTCGCGACAAAGCACCGGGACAGAAGGAATGTGACGCTGCAATCGAAAAACTGTCAGCTAGAATTAGAGAATTGGACGCTGCTTCTCTCAGCGCTGTTTCACAGGCTCTTGTTCCACGAAGGGAGAACACGGTGCAAGGATTCACCGATCAGATGGAGAGCAGCGCAAGTGAGCTGCGAGAAAAATTGGAGCCTCTTCGAACAGCTGCTAAATACGAAGCTGAGAACGTTGGACACGCTGTCAATCAGATTGCTTTGTATTGCGAGCCGCTAGTTTCCGGTGCTATCGGTGCTGCTTCAAACATGGTGCACTCGAAACAACAAATGGTGCTATTGGATCAGACGAAGACCGTTGCAGAATCTGCTCTGCAGCTTGTCTGCGTGACAAAGGAGTCTGGTGGCAATCCGAAAGCTATCAACTTGCATGCAGAAGTTGATGAAACGGTGGAGTCTATGAAGGACGCGTTACAAGAATTGCAGAACACTTTGGAGACCATTTCAACGTCGAATGGCATTGTTACTGGGTTGATCGATACCATTTCTCGAGCTATGGTTAGATTGGAAGATCACAGAATGTCTACGATTGATACAGTGGATTCTTACGTCGACTACCAGACCAGAATGGTGGAAGCTGCGAAGGAAATAGCTCGGCTGGCGCAGGAAATGGTAAAGAACTATATTAGTATATACATTTTTTGCAAATCTGCTAGATTATCTTCTTAAGCTAAATAATCTTTTTAAACATTAAGAACAAAGTGTATTAAAAATAAAGGCAAAACAGAGAGAAAAGAATACGGCTAACGTACCTTCATACAGTTCCACTAATCTCAACATTTATCCATTTCAGTCAACAAAATCCAGCACAGACGTTGCCAGATTAGGTCCTCTCGCAGTGGACATCTCTCACAAATACACCCAACTGGCCCGTGACACATCTGGCGCCTCAGCAGCCGCGTCCAACGCCGACGTATCCTCAAGACTTCGCACAGGCGTTCAAGAACTTGGTAGAGCTTGTGCAGACATTGTTCGAGCAGCGGGAACTTGTCAAATGTCACCGGGTGACGCTTACGCTCAAAGAGAAGTTGCAGAACACAGCAAGATCGTCACAGAGAAGGTGTCACAAGTGTTGGCCGCTCTTCAGGCAGGTTCTAGAGGCACTCAAGCGTGCATCAACGCTGCAAGCACCGTGTCAGGCATTATCGGTGATCTGGACACGACGATCATGTTCGCCACTGCTGGAACCTTGCACGCGGAGAACGAGGGCGACACTTTCGCTGATCATCGCGAGAACATCTTGAAGACAGCCAAAGCTCTCGTCGAGGACACCAAGACACTGGTTGCAGGCGCCGCTTCTTCTCAAGAACAGTTAGCCGTCGCTGCGCAAAATGCTGTGTCGACGATTGTTCAACTTGCTGAAGTGGTCAAATACGGCGCTGCCAGTCTGGGAAGCCAGAATCCCGAGGCTCAAGTGATGTTGATCAATGCAGTGAAGGACGTGGCTTCCGCGCTTGGAGATTTGATACATGCTACCAAAGCTGCCAGTGGAAAGCCCATCAACGACCCAAGTATGGCACACTTGAAGGATTCCGCCAAGGTAAGACGATTCGTTTGATAATCGTCCCCTTTTTTTTCTCGCTTCATTCATGTTCACGTTGATGTTACGTATAAAGGAGTTTCCTGTTGTTGGCTTAGCATTAATTCTGTTTGGAGAGACGTTTGAGTAGAAGAGATCTGTAACGGAATGGCAGCGTGGAAATTCGTCAGGAAGTAGAGCTTTGTGAAGGATACATGTGTGTGTGACTAAAAGAGGTGTGTTCATTCTTGATTTCCCAATCAGTAATCAGAAGAGGTTTGAAGGGTAGAGTTTACAAAATTCTTTATCAAACCTTACTATGTAAACTGTGAAATTTAAGAATAATTTTCATGCTCTGATTTGGCAGGAATTAATTTTCTACAGAAATTTTTGATTCTAATTTCAATTTCATATCAGAGTGATTGTCAAATGATACACAAAATAACGTTTCCTGTGAATAACTCAAAAAGTACATTAATGATGGTTCAAAATATTCTTTTTAAATAAACTTTCACAAAGAATATGTGAAATTTGTGATTGGGAAACGCTTGATTAAACCGAATTAACCGTAACAAGGATCACATTGGTAGCTCGCTTGGAGGGAAAGACGAGGCGGAACACTGTGAAATACCATCGTGGCGAACCTAACAGCGTCTCATTGTCTCCCCCGTTAACACACTAAATTCAGACTTTCACGCTTAACTAAAAACCAACTTCCCGTTACTTTTTTTTGGGTGGACTTTAATCGATGAACTTGTCTATTTCACCTCTAACCGACTAAAAAAAAAAAAGAAGAAGAAAAAAGAAAGAGAGTGAATTAAAAGAAAAGTATAATTCTCAGCTCATCTCGCTTATATGTGGTATCTATAGTAAAACGGTACGTGCCTCGACCAAACACTCGTTAAACCATTAAAGTCCACCTTGCACTCTCCTTTTCAATCGATGTTCCATTTTTTCTTTTCTTTTCTTTTTTTTTTTTCATGTGTTTGACACTACACTCGATCTATGTTCCCTCGATGGAGAAAGTATGTAGATTAGCTGCGCGAAGGCAGAACCGATATTTGCTTCAATCATAGAACAGTTATTATTAATTATCATTATTACGATTATTCGGCTTTGTTTTGCTTTATTGAGATTGACACGCGATGAAAGTAGTTGGAGAAAAAGTGAAAAAAAAATAATAATGAATGATCTCACGAATTTGGTGGACTTTAATTGCGAGTATTTCATTGACGATTTTGGTCTGGCCGATCCGAATAGGTGTTAGAACAGCAGCTACACCAGCAGCTGATGCCTCTAAGCGACGTCGAAGGCTCGGAGGAGTCCGAATGGTTCGTCTCCGATCAAGAGGAGGAGCTGATACGTCTGCTCTCAGCCTCAGAAAGCGAACAACCGTCTCAGCGAACTTCTGATTTGCTGTTGCTCATGTAGCCCGAAGCATTGATTTTTATACCAACCGTGCTGTTTCGCATCGTTTCGATTGGTTCTTGATCAACGTAGCATTTACCCTTTTGGTACATCACAGCAGGGACCAAAGGTTTCGGTTGCTCGACGCCATTTTCTTTTCTGTCTCTCCCTGCAAATTTTGTTCATTTTTGTCGTATTTTTCGAAATTTTTCTATTTTTTTCTCTTTTATTATTATCTGTCTCTTGTTTCCTCTATTTTTATTTACATATTTAATACTTCATTTTGGAGAAAAATGGAGGAAGCGACCTTGCGTCCTTGAGCAAACGAAATCTTCGATTCAAGCTATAGGCAGCTCTTTTACGTATATTACTTTGTTGGTTTTCTTTTTTATTTTAAGTTCCGTGGAAGGGACGAGATAACGATGTAAGAAGTATATATTGCATTCTTTTTTAATTGTGTAATCTAGTCGTTTCTAATGTTACATGGGAATTCCAGATACATTTTTTTGGTTTTTTTGTGAAGAAATTAGTAGTTCCTTGAATAAGAGGCTCCCAAAGTAGATTAAGAAAGGAAGAAGTAGTAAGATTGTAGCGAATAGTGCCGAAAGGGTGAAAAGAGATTTATTTAGAAATGTTTATTTACTGAAGAAAAAAGAGAAAATTCCAAAATGAACATTGTTACTGGAATTTTTTTTTAATACACTGGTTCACTGTAGGGAGAACTTGGTGACGAATTTGCTATCAAATTTGCATTTTACAGTTCTCTATTTTTTTTGTTTTTTAATTTGCCTGAATTTATCGAAGCACTTGTAATTTCGAGTTAGAAAGTGATGATAACTCCGATAATTGAATAATGGCGTTAGTGAAAAAATTAGGATGCGCTTCTGCTACATTTTCAGTCATTCACACGCATTCTAGACATCATTTTCACTATGTGAACAATTATATTGTGCTTCTGTCGAGGTATTTAATATACACTTTTTATGCCATACTTCATCTCTTTCCTAATTTTTTTTTTTTTTAATTTCTTTTGTAACTACGAAATAAACGATCGAATTTTTACTACGCTACACCCGTTACATGAATTCGTTAATCCATCCGAGGACAGAAAGTTTCATTTTTAAACAAAGCATCTTTTAGGTACGTACATTCCATTTGCAAGCATGTGTGCATTAACCAATAATAGCACCGTGCTTAATGCTTCGTTAACTAATTGGGGATTGAAACGTTATTCGCTTATTTGCCAAAAAAGAGAAAATTTCGAATGTTAATAATCAATGCTGACAATGTTGAAATCTCTGTAAACGTGCAATAAGTCACGAGTTATATTTCATGTGAAACGAGAAGTAACTAAAAAGTATCGTTAGAAACGTAACAGCTAGAAATATTGTCACTAATTTTGCAATAAACATTTGAGAAATTCGTTCACGGTTGGAAATGATCGGTAATCTAAATGAGACTAATTAAAAAAAAAAAGGCAAGAATAATTCGCTAGCATTATTTCACACTTTTGTTATTTTCTAATTGCCATTTCGTAGCAGTCTGCTTAACTCTCTGTCCAATGTTCTATCTGGAATCTAATAATAATTTTAGAAACGTACTAACAACAGTATACAAAGGAAACCTGAACTTTTCGAACTTAAGGTTCTTGTGCGGCAGAACGCCTTACTGTGTCATTCTGTTAAAAAAAAAAAAAAAAAACGAGCGTCTGATAACCATCATATTAACCATGTAACATATTTTATACTTCATTTGCGGTTCGATATTGTAAAAGTCGCGTAATTTACACTTGAACATCTAACAATCCTCAGAAAGATCAATTAAGATTGAAATTACGTGATTTTTGAATGAAATACTTATCTCACATGCACCTTCAACGATGAGTACATCAGAAACAGTACCCAGATTGTCACAAATTAATACATTTATATACATGAAACTCCGGTAGAACGACTTCTAACTATTTCCCTCTTTTCAGGTGATGGTAACAAACGTGACTTCCCTGCTGAAAACTGTGAAAGCTGTAGAAGATGAACATACTCGTGGTACCAGGGCTTTGGAATCGACCATCGAAGCTATAGCACAAGAAATCCGCGCATTGAACACTCCAGAGTTGCAGAAGACCAATGTCACTCCAGAAGATCTTGTTCGTTGCACGAAGAGCATCACCACTTCCACCGCGAAGGCTGTGGCTGCTGGAAACAGCTGCAAACAGGATGACATCATAGCTGCTGCAAACATGGGAAGAAAGGCTATCAGCGACATGTTGACCATTTGCAAAGGAGCAGCATATAACTGTGCAGAAACAGCTGAGCTCAGAGATAGGACTCTTCAGGCTGGTCACGATGTCGCCCTTACCTACAGGGAGTTGTTGCAAGCTATATTACAAATTTCATCAAGATCCAGTGATGCAAAGCACACTTTACCACCAATTAGCAGGAAAATTGCTCAGAGCGTTACTGAATTAGTTGCTGTAGCTGAATTGCTGAAAGGTAACGATTGGGTAGACCCTGATGACCCAACTGTGATAGCTGAAAACGAGCTGCTAGGTGCAGCTGCTAGCATTGATGCTGCGGCGAAGAAGCTTGCTAGTTTGAGACCAAGAAGGAGTATACAGGTGGGTTTTTATTCAATGGAATTGTAGTTATCAGTGATAATAATTTTTTGTAAGGTGTAAGTAGTAAATTTAAGATTAGGCTCTGCTAGAATCTGTGAGACAATTGGAATAATGAGCATAACTCATGAATATGCTTTCAGCGAAATTTGTTACATATTGAGTATAGTTAAGAGGAAGTTTGTACGTGCAAGTAACTCTTTCTAGGAAAAGATGTGTGAAATGAAATTGTTTAGATAAAACCAGCTAGCGTAAAACTGAGAAACAGTCTGATTTCCGTAAGATATGTTTGATATTCTTGGTTGTTTTTTCAATAATCGACCAGGAATCAAACATATTATTATGGCGGTCAGAGAATCGACGGAAACTCAGCGATAGTAAGATCAAAGTTGGTTAAGAGTACAATTTATCCATGAAGGTATATCGACAGCTTTGATTCAAGATTATTATTCATATACCTATAGTGAAATGATTGAATTGCGTAGTTCCATTTACTACTATTAAACAGTTTAAGCTCATCGATTCTACTTTTCCACATTTCTAAATCTGCTATTTTCGTTCATAGGAGGCCAACGAGGATATGAACTTCGACGAGATGATTCTAGAGGCAGCCAAATCAATCGCAGCTGCCACATCAGCGCTCATAAAAGCAGCCAGCGCTGCTCAAAGAGAGTTGATAGCAACAGGAAAAGTCTCTCGAACACCTCTAACTAGCTCCGATGATGGCCAGTGGTCTGAAGGTTTAATTTCTGCCGCAAGAATGGTCGCAGCTGCAACTCATAGCCTCGTGGAATCAGCAAACGCTCTAGTACAAGGCGTTAGCTCCGAGGAGAAACTAATTTCCAGTGCGAAACAAGTTGCTAGCAGCACGGCACAACTGTTAGTCGCTTGTAAAGTGAAAGCAGATCCAGACAGTGAGAGCACAAAACGCCTGCAAGCAGCTGGAAACGCGGTGAAACGCGCTACGGACAACTTAGTGCGCGCAGCACAGCAAGCTATCCAACAAGAAGAAGATAGATCCTTGATCCTTAACCGCAGAATGGTTGGCGGAATAGCCCAGGAGATAAACGCCAGGTCAGAGGTCCTTCGTATTGAGAGAGAACTCGAGGAAGCCAGAGGAAGACTCACTGCTATTCGTCAGGCTAAATACAAGAACCGGCCAGACCTGGCGACGAGATACGAGACCAGAGCCTATGATTCTCAGTCACATCTGAACCACAGCCTGGATCAGCTACAGTCTACAACGCACAATATCAGCCAGTTGGCTGTCGACAGACAGAACCTAATCAGTCCAGAGAAGGTCCAATCCACCCAAAACACTTTAGAGAGGAAGATGAAGGACAATCAATATCGATCCGCTATGGAGAGTCAGTATGGATCAGTTGAGAAAAAGTATCGAGATAATCAGTATGATAGACGGTACGGTTCAGACAGTCCATACGTTATTTCTGACAAGAAAATAGTCGTAGACAGTTCACCGGGTCAGTATAGTTCTATCGAGAGGAAAATCAATCAAGAGGGTTACAGTACCATAGAGAGGAAACACTTGGATGGACCGTATCCACCTGTTCATACTATGACTTACTCACCAGTGTCTCCCACGCGTAAAGTCTTCCAGGAGCAGCAACAGCAGCACTCTTACGAAAAATACTCTCAGGACCAATACTCGAACGATGAACGATCCTACGAGCAGAAGACTTACTCTCCAAGTCAAGAACACAAGTATTACACCGATACTGTGGACAGATTCTCAGGACACAGCCCAATGAGTACCTTCAGATCGGAGAAACAAACGGAGGCGCAACGTTTTGGAAATCTTACACACAATCAGAGTAACAAAAACATGGAGTCTAAGCTGATTCCAGGTGGAAGAATAGAGACAATCACGAAAAAAGTTTACACGTCCACTCCAGGGAAGACTAGCAGTTCTAACTACGAGTCCACAGAGGAGAACAAAGAGTATGTTACTTCTGGCAACGAATTGTCCACGTTCAAGGCTCTGGACAGTGACACTTTGGAGGAACGCCTAACGAAGCAGTCGATGACGCACAAAGTCACTGAGAAGAAAACGGTCACCATGACAATGTCCAGCAAGCAAGAGTCGAACACAAAGACGTTCCGGTTTGAAGAGAAGTAAAATCTGGGGAATGTTAAATGTATTATGCCGAAGATGGATATTCCTGGAACAATTAGTGTGGAGACTGTTTGCATGGAAATTGTTCTTTGATGCACAAAATAACCAATCGTTGGTTTCTTCATGTAATATGGTGTATAAGAAAGGGGAAAGCTTTTCCTCCTGATGGAAAATAGTTGTTAGATTATTTTCATACAATGTGCTGCGGTTATCTGGCAACACTAATCAATGGATGATGAGGTATCATGTGTAATTGAGCGACAATGAAAAAATGAACAGAGAAATGTTCGAAGCTTGAAAATAGTTAAAGGAGATTTTGAATATACCTTGGTCAGAGGCTTTAATGGTGCAAGTTCATGAAAGTAAATTAAGAATATGGAAATATTGCTTTTGAATGTAATATAAAAATGCTATGCATTCATTACACTACAGACAATCTATAGTTCGGGGGTATTTGAAATACAATGTTAAAGTCAATCAAGGTTTTGTACTACATGAAGTCTCATATTTAATAATTGTTATGAAACGTAAATCGTACGGTTCTTGTTAACAAAAGAAGCTTTTGACGTTTTCTCCTATTTTCTTTGACAAATTATGATGATTTAAGTTATTATTTTAATTTGGGAAAATTGGATTGAAGAGAACAGTTTTCGAGAAAGCTGTAAGTTAAATAATACAGTAAAATACGTATTATTCGATGGTGAATAGAATCGTTAGGAAGCTTAATAAAATAACTAGTAAATATTTTGTTTCCAAATAATAATATATAGCAAATGACTAATAGTAATGTGTTAAATAATAAAAAAAAAGATAGGTTTATACAAATTTCTAATAAACTATATTTTAGTTCTTTTAGACTTATTTTTGCAAGTAAATAAAAGTTAGAGACAAAGTTAGGAATATTTAGAAGAAGATACAACATCAAGAATATCACGGGAAGATATATCAAGAGTAGGATCAAGAATAAGTCTTCGTTTGTGGAAATACATAGATAAAAAATTGTTTTACGTATGACGCATGGGAAAACGAAAGAATAATTAAGGCGATACTTTCCTTTATTGTTATTAGGTGTTAGGGGGTGTAGCAAAATAAATATTTAAAAAAGTATATTTTTAATCAATTTTGTTGATTGGAAGCGTACGATTTTATAAAACCATCAGGTCAATTAGAAAACAATATTCCTCGGATGTACAATTATCGACGAAACAATCGATACAATTGTATTTACAAACAGTTCGTCTCCGAAATATGCGAAACATGCATTTTGACGCCTTTATATGATAGTCTTCGTGGCGAAACGATAGAAAAGTGTCCTTAGATAGAAATAACTTGTGCTTTCGAAATTAGCCTTTATAAGAATGTTTATTGGCTCGAAGATGAATGGACAGTAACCGTCCTTTTTGTCCATAAATGTGTTTATTTAACATAGTACGAGCAATATTACAGGAGATTACGGATGCACACGATACGTTTTTACTATTTTGCATCGACAATTTTCAGTGTTTTTGATACGACATGTACTTTTGATCTTTTGAGAAACATTTTTCAAGATACATTTTCAAAGAACTTATTCAAGTATTTATATTTAGAGTCGAAAGACATCTCGATGAATTAGGATGATTTAATAACGAAGAACCTGCACCTTTTGAAACTTATATTTATATATATGTAAAAAAAGAAACAAAAAAAAAAAGAAGATAATTATACTAATCCAACGAAAGAAAGACGTTTGTTTGACTCGACGTTATTCTTTTATTCTCTGACTTTCTGATAGACAAATCAATAACCGTCGTACACCGCAGAAATGGATACACCTGATTTAATTTAGATCTAATTTATCGTAATTTTAAGTTTAAGACAACGGATTAACAAGAGAAGCAACATATCATTTAATTTTATTAACTTTCTGACAGCGTGCGGCCTGTTCCCACGTTGTCACTGTCCCTTTCCCTCTAACATTTTCCGTTTTTCAGCATTAACATTACTGTTTAAGTGCATCTTTGTTTATTCTGGGAGCTGTTTATTGCTTGAACTCACGTTTCTCCGCTCATATTATTTTTTCTTTTGCTCACTGTTTACAATTTCGTTCGCGGTGGCTCGTTTCCGGTGATTATTTCGTCAGACCATTCGGTCGAGAACTTTTTCGAGTCAGGACTGTCCAACGTAATGCAAGGATATTAAGCGAGTAGCGAAAATAATATACAGGGTGATTCTAAAATAATTCCATTCAGAATAAGCATAAGAGAAAACTGTATTCAGAAAGAGGCTGATTTTGCAATTTATACCAAATATGTAACTTGTGAATTTTAATATGTTTTAAGTATCTTTGTACATGTACTTTTAACTTTATTCTGATATATTTAAATTATTTAATTGTAACATTTAAATAATTAGTTTTAATTCTTTCTTTCATTTCATCTTTTTTAACGGTTTTATTGAAGAAGTTTTATTTACAAGAAGGATTAATTTAAAATATTTTATTGTGAACTGTGAAATGACGAGAAACATTTTTGTTGTATGTAAAAATGAAGAAGAATGTATATTAGGAATAGTTTTCCTTGTGAAATTATTCAACTTGTTGAATTTTTAGAATCATCTTGTATATTGTAGCTCAGTGATTGAACATTAAATGAAAAATACAGAAAGAAATGAAATTCGAGATGAATTCAAGTAACTAATGAAAATGTATGAAAGTATAAATTATAGTGAATATATTATTGTAAAACATTTTAGTATAGACGATTTATTTTTGTTACTGTACAGTTCAAGCTTCTCCAATAGGAGAGAATGAAATTGACAGTGTAAAGAAAATTAATTCAAAGGTTTTGTGAAATTTAAAAAGTTTTACAGAAAGTAATTGAGGCCACATTTGATAGAAATTCTCATGAAATAGAAGTTTCAATGCCAGTTTTATAAAAGTCAAGTTTTAACGAGAATTATGAACAAATAAATATCTGTATCATTAACCCTGGATCACAAACTGAGATACTTAATTATTACACTGGTTCTTTCATGTATAAATTATAATGAAGTATTTAAAAAAAAAAAAAACAATAGCACGTGTACATTAAACTATCACTTTGACATTAAAATAAAGTAATCAATTATAAATAATTCGATTCACTGTTAAGTTGATATAAGAAAGATTACTCTAGTATCCAATTTTATACCTTTTTACATGCAAATTTACATAGCACAGAATGCGTTAACAATTTTAAACGTCCACATTGAACATAAATTTGTTAAATTGCTTATTTTTATTAACAAAATAGCGTTACGATCTAGGGTTAAAAAAGTAAATGTCACATAGGGAATAAAAATGAAAAATAGTAACCGCAAAATAAATTGGAAAGAATTTAAAAGGTGTAAGTGCTCTCGAGAAAAATGTTTCAGATAAACGATAGGAGTATGAAAAGGTGTGAAAATTGATTGGAAGGTCGATGGTTGGACAGACCTGTTCCAAGTGATCGATTAGTGCAATTATTGTTAGTCTTTCGAAGGTAGATAAAGGATTTGTAAATAGAGTGTTAGATATTTTGCATAAAATTCAATGTCTTCGCAAAGGAAAGATGAAATGAGAGAAAAAAGGGGAAAAAGTGCCTGAGTCTAAGGAGCTGCCGCTTTTTCACGTGCTCGTAGAAAACTCGTAGGATTCTCTAATATTACCAAAAAAATCGGATGCTTTACTAATGTTCGATAGTGTAATTATGAATGAAAAAAAAAAAAAAACGAAATGAAAATAAATGAAAAAAAAAAAAGAGGAAGAATCCCTTTACATAAGAACA